TGAAGCTCTGATGATGCACAAATATTATTTTAAAGCATCGAATAAAATGATGCGAGACATATTGCGCTTTAGCAATCTATCAAGTGGTGATAATACCTTTGGCAAAAAGACTATAGTGTTAGGGGGTTACTTTCGACAAATTCTTAATGTAATAATACCTAAAGGAACAATCAATATATCGTTGGTACCAGTATAAATTCATCATATCTTTGGGAGAATTGTAAAGTTCTACACTTGACCATGGATTTGCAGTTACAAAGCTTGGGTTTTGCAACATATTGAGTCTATTGGTGATGAAACGATAAGTGGTCCCAACGACGGATGTTCAAAAATTATATAGCAGAAGAGAATCTGTTACGCAATCAAATGGTGAACTGATATCAACTATTGTTTAGAGAACATTTCCTATGTTTTGCGACGGTTATAAGGACTACAATTATTTTCATGTGCGGGGAATTTTAGCTCTCATGCTTGAGATTGTTAATTGTATCAACGAATATATACATGAGTGATTTGAATGATGGTAAAGGTTGAACATACTTGAGTTGCGGACTTGCGGTACAGTATGCGAATGTGATTTTAATATTGATACGCTCTCTAAAATGCACACTCCTAAGTTTTTAAATGGTTTATGATGCTCTGGTTTACCAAATCATTCTTTGACCTTGAAGGTCGGAACACTAATGATGCTATTGAGGAATATTGATCACTCACTTGAATAGTGCAATAGTACTAGGTTAATTGTCACTAATTAAGTTAGCACATTATGTTTTGGAAGTCCAAATTATGTAGAACCATGTATGTAAAAAGGTGTTGAAACGCAGATGTATGTCATTGACCACATTAGATCCAAGATTACCATTAAATTCTAGCAAAGACTATTTCATGTGATACTTTCGTATGTCATGACTATCAATAAAAGTCAAAGACAAACCTTATTACACGTTGGTTTGTTTTTGAAAAAAAAAACATGTTTTTAATGATGGGCAGCTATATGTGGTTGTATCTCGGGTTAGTAATTCAAAGGTCTAAACATTTTTATTTGTTGTGATTCTAGAGAACATTGTAATGTTATTTATAAGGACATGTTTAATAATTTGTAATTTAAAATTTTTGTCAATAACTTTTCATTATATGTCAATATTTTAATTATAGAGCTGAACATACGGAATTATTGATCTGAATGCCGATGTTTAAACATGTACCATCTGACATCATTAACTCATTTAAATAATTAAAAAATTAAAATTCTAAAAATGAACATTTTTATATTATGCATTACTAATATATTTACTTTAAGATATATAATTAATTATATTTTATCGTGCATCACACAGGTGACATATTAATTGCATTAAAATATTGTGCACACCAAACAATGTGACTTGTTATAAGGGTAAAAGCTTTCATTTTCATTAGCCACCAATGGTTAGCTAAAACTACTATAAGTTAATAAGATAAAATCACATCATTTATCATAAAATTTGATATAAAAGATTTTTAAAAAATGTTGCAATACTTCAGTTCCTTTGTTCCTAAGATTTCACTTTACACAAGTGAAGTCCAATTCTTTTTTATGATAAGAGAAATGTACTGTCACTATTTGTTGATGTGCGCAAGAATTAAATTTGTGACTTTAATTTTTTGTGTTAGAATTATTCTTCATCTACTACGCCACTCATTTCGGAGTGGAGTCCAATTGTTTTACTCTTTAATTTTATTAATAACATTTTGTCCCATTTCATATTAAATAGTAGTTAACATATTCATTCACCCAATAATTTTTTTTTTCAAAAAAGTAATTTGTTGAAGTTATGTAGTTATGTCATTGATTAATAACAATTTGCCTCATTTATCATTTCTATATGCCTAAGAATAATAATTAACTGTCAAATACACGTTTTTCCTAGCAATATAGCTTATTTTTAAATGGGGAAAAATATATTCTTTTAAAAAAAAAATCTTTCTAAATTACATGTTAATTACTTGTCATGTTGTTTTGGTCACTTGCTTTTAGAATTGCAATTATCACTACCAACATTGTAAAGGTAATACAATTTTGATCCCACTACGGATATAACCTTCTAACCTAACTTGTTAGGGTTTTGCATTGTATATAGCTATTTAAGTAATTTAATTTTTCTTTTTCTAGCGATGGGATCTAGCCGTGTAAGAGGGTTTTGTTTCCTAAGGGACTGAAGTTGTAATAATTTTTTAAAAGGTAAAATTCCATTTCTTTTTTCATCAACTTTTATAACTAAGAGACCAAAATGACAATTGCATATAATTAGAAGGTCATATTGATTATTAAAAAAATAATAAGAAAAAGTGTCAAATGGGCCACTGAACTTTTAAACATTGTGCAATTGAATCATCAAATAAAAATAGTGTGTAACTGGACCATTAAAAACTCAAAATTTTGCAACTAACATTTTTTATAAGTTACTTTCAAGTTTCCCTTAAATATGATGTCATAATGTCAAATTATACATAAAATATTATTTTAATTATTATTTTAAAAATTAAAATTAAAAAAAAAACAATTTTTTAAGAATTTAAGAGGAAGGTGGAGGCAGCCCTTCATCCTTAGTATACGAAGGTGGAGGCAGCCACCTTCTTCTGAAATTTTAAAAAAAGAAAATAATATTTTTTAATTTTTAAAATAATAATTAAAATAATTATATATATAATTTAACATTATGACATCATATTTAAGGGAAACATGGAAGTGACCTGTAAAAAAATGCTATTTGCACAATTTTTGAATTTTTTAATAGTTCAATTACACACTTTTTTGTTTGATGATTCAATTGCACAATGTGTAAAAGTTCAGTGGTCTATTTGACACTTTTTTCAAAAAAAAAAATAATAATAATAAAAAATAAAACATTGATATGAAAAGTTGTACATCATCTTACAGTAAAATAATAAATGCTTAATATATAACATCAAATATATGTATAGATTTTCTTCTTAGTTGAATTAATGACTTACCTAATTAGTATTATATCACACATTATAACAGCAAAAAAAAAAAAAAAAAAAAAAAAAAAAAAAAAAAAAAAAAATTGAAAGAGCTTTTGAAAGTAAGTAAATAAAAGGCAAATTTCAAAGAATTTCAAAATTGAGTTTTTATTTTAGAAAAATCATATTCATCAAGAAGCTAGATACATATGCGGCATGGGAAAGAATTAATATTGAAGTGTTATAATATGGTTTATGAAGAAATAAAAATGTTAGAATCACAATCATCATCATATCATAGCTAAGATGCAGCTAGCGTACCAAATTAAAGATACAAATTGTTAATAATATCTATAAAATGCCAAAAATTGAAAATTGGAAGATATTTTTGGGTGTTTAGGCAGCTAATTGGTATGTAGGCATAGGCATTTTGGCATGAAAGTGTAGAGTGTAGGGGACACAAAATGACATAACATGCCATGGACCTCTCTACCTTAGTCTATTGCAGTAATGCATGCCCACATTACAATATAGTATGATGAAAAATGGTGCATTATATTTTTCTGTTACACCCTACCTAATAACCTATGGAAATTCCAATCTCACACACTTTTCAGCCTATACTTATATATATAGCATGTTGACCACATCCCAATCCCAATCCCAATCCCTATCCCAAGCAAGAATGTGTATGTAGCACCACCTAAATCCTAGAGAGGATCATATCATCCATGGAAGTGAATAAATAAATTCAATGAACTCATATATACATACATACTTTTTAGAAAATTTCAAGTACTTAAATATGAAGCTCAGATAATCCAACAGCAAATTATGTTTTTTTTTTTTGTGGTTTTAAATTTAGCACCGTCTGATTAATTTGCAATAGTGTCAGACGATTTGTAAGAAATTAATTAATATAAGTTGTAAAACTTATCACAAATTACACTACTTGGTGTTTACAATAATTGACACAAATATAATTTCTCTTTAGCAACATTGAATGATAAAAATAAGTCAAAAGCAACACAAAATAAATTTTACGCACACTGGTAAAAAGGTTTCTTTTAATTGATTTGTACCGATATTAATTAATTCATAATAATAAATAGTTGTAGCAAAAAAGTATAGCAAAAGGAATTTTAATTTTCCAATGGATTAGTTACTGCAAATATTTCACACTAGAAATGATTAAGGGAAGTTTTTGGAGAATAGTGTCACAATTTAGCTAGGATGTTAATTGGCTTGTGGAATGGGTCCAATCCCTTTTCCCAACATTTGCCATGATACCTTTGTCTCTTCATATGGTCTTTTGTAATTCAATCATTCATATTATCATATATCATCATTCTCATGACAAACAGTAAGATTTGGTTCAAGAAAAGAGAACCATATTTTAAAGAGAAAGAATTAGAAACAAACAAAATTCCAATTATTCTGGACAAATGCAATTGTCATATGTATCTAATTTCATCTTCTTCTTTTTTCCTTCTAAAATAGAATTGTGACTTTGAGTAGTGACTACTGCCCTATATGCCCTTATATAAACAACACATTTGAATTTAGATAAATCAAAATTTAATCATTTAATAAAAAATTTCATACCAACAACAATTTTAACAGCACAAAGAGAGTATTTAGCGAATAAATTCTCATAAAACAATGAATACTTTGAAATATAACCATTTGATTAGGAAATTAGGAAAAGTATAATTAAACAATTAACCAAACCCTAAGAACTTGAGACATAACTATTTGATTAGGAAAATTCATCAAGAAAGGTGATCCCTTGCATAACATATATTAGGGTAGCTAATCACAATTCACAAAGTAAATTAACATTTATTATTGTAGGTTTTCATTGTTTTCAAACCCTAAGCACAATGCAATCAATTATAATTGACTTTTCATGAAGAAAATTTATTAAGTCTAATAATTAATTAACAAAAGTTGATAGCTAATAATAAGAGTTAACATTATTACAATATTCCAACTAATTAAACCTAAAACCCTAATCAACATATACTAGTAGTAACTGCAACGTAACACCTTAATTGATTGATACTATTATTAGAGAAGTTTTACATTATCATCATAACGTGTGATAAGTCTTTGAAATTAAAGTCGAAAATAAATTAGTGCAGTGGGACATTTTTAAGTATGTAAATTAAAATACTTATCTCATCATCTTCATGAATGTAATAATAGTGTTACTTGAATGGATTGCCAGCGCCATAGTCTCTACTTGGTTCTCCCATTGAGCTCCAATCCCACAGTCTATCGGAGAAAGCGGCGGCGGCGGCAGCCTGGTGGAGAGATCCCGGCGGGAGCGCCAAGGGCTGCGGCGGGAGGGGGTGCAGCAATGGCGGCGGCGGGAACGGGGAGGAGAGGGTTTGGAAGAGTTGGGGGTGTTGGAGGGAGATCTGTTGTTGGGAGTTGACTAGCCTGTGGAGGTCGTCGACGGAGGCGGCGGAGGAGGAAGCGGAGAAGAAAGGCGCCGAGGGCGGCGCGGCGGCGGCGGCGTAAGAGCTTTGGTAGCTGGAGAGGCCAAGCGAAGTCCCGACTTCGGTGCTGCTACTCGCGCTGGTTTCTGCGCTTATCTTCTCCTCCGCCACCTGGTAAGGCGAAAACGAGGGTTCCTGGAGCTTCTTAACGGCGGCGGGTCCCCGGGAAGACGAGGACGAGGCGGCGGCGGCGGCGGAGGCCCGGCTGGTCTGGAGAGAGCGCGGCAGAGATGGGTGGTGGTCATCCACCCCCGCCCTTTTGTAGACGCGGCAAAGTGAAATCTCCGCCTATATATATAATCCATCGAATGTATATATATATCAATTAAGTTGAAATTAAAGAAGTAGCTAATTAATGCTAAAATCTAACAGAAACAATAATTTAAGTTTAGAATTGGATCCGAAAACAATTAAACTGGATCGATTATCTCTCTTCACGCCATGCATGAATACCCTTAAATTAGTCTTTTTTTTTGCATTAATGAACTCAATAATTGTGAATTTTTGTCTGGGGCTTCCCTTCTACTACTACTACTATACATCATAATATCAGATCACAAGTTTCTTGCTACTGGATCTGATCTGATCTCATCTGCTCCTATTTAAAGCAAACCAAATATTTGGCAGAAAAAGAGATTGATGAGGAAGAAAAACCACAGTACAGATATTTATATCCATATATATACACATATATACATACATACATACATGATTAAATCATTCAACAAATTTTTGAAAAAATTCACTACTGGAAATTATGAAATTTCCAGCAGTGAATTTCCGACCATATGAAAGTGATCTTAAATAAAGTGAAAAACTTTATTCCGACAACTTTTGGTATCCGGAAAAACCTTGATTGCTATTTCCGACCACTTACTTGATTTAAAAATCACTTTCAGGTGGTCGGAAATTTCATTAGATCCAGAGATATGAAGGGTTTGTTGTTTAGAAATTAGAATTGAGAATACCTTTTGCAAGCGTTCAGTTTCGTGGTGTGGCAAGCGGTATTCGTTCATAATCCAACTAGTGCGGATGCCTTTGGGGGCCTTGCCGGAGTAGAAAACCAGCGTCTTCTTCAACCCAATAGACCGTGAATTCTCGCCGCGAATCATCCTATCGGCGCCGGTGGCTTTCCAGTAGCCGGAAGTGGTTACCCGGTTGGGTCTGTCGCCGTTTCTGTACTTGCGATCTCTGGGCACATAGAAGAACCACTCTTTCTCCCCTATAGCTGCCAATGCTACAAACAATTTCAACAAACCCGGCCCCAAATTAAAATCCACTCCCCTATTTAGCTAGCTGGGTAGCTAGGGTATGTATGTATGAATGTGCAGAAAAGATGGAGAAGATCGTACCAGGGAGTTCCCAAGGGTCGTAGCGATAAAGATCAAGAAAAGTGATGAGTTCTACGTTGAAACGCTTGCCTTCCACCTTCCGCCGGAGATAGAATTCGACGAGCTCTTCCTCCGTGGGGTGGAAGCGGAATCCGGGCATCACCATGTCGTGTTCGTGGTCGTCGGCGGCGGCGGCGGCCGCCTCCTCCTCAGTGTTCTTCTGGCACCTCTCATCTTGGTTCTGTTGGCTCATTTTTTCTGGCAAAACTGCCATAAAATTAACGAAGATCCCAGAAATTTAATTGAAGCTTAATTAGCTTTGCTTGCTTTTTCACCAAGTCTCTAAATTCTGGCGAGTCTTTAGCTGAGCTTTTTAGGCCTTCGTCTTCCCCCCCTTTTTATACTACATGATAGGGTACGATAGAGAGAGGGTGGACTAGAAGAGAGAGAGAGAGAGAGAGATGGTGAAAATTGTGAGAAGGGGGAAGATAAAGAGATTATTCAAAATGTCGCACTCATCACTCTGCTCTCAGAATTCTGCAGGCAAGTCTTCTGGTCTTTTCTCTCTCTCTCCCCACTGGGACTTGAGAACAAAACTTGTATTGGTGAGAGAAATATACAGATTTTATGTAGTATAGGATAGATGACCCTTGTCAGAATTCACAATCAACTTTTAGGTGACACGTATTATTACTAATAATACTCCTTATGTCTCATTTTATCTGTCATATTTACTCATTGAATCAAATTAACTCTTTCTTCGATGTTTATTTTTTGTTAGTATTTTTTACTTATTTTAAAATTTGATTTTTTGTGTTTTATAGTACTTTAAGTGTAGTTTCTAAATATATAGATTTTATATACAAATACGAAACTTAATATTATAAAAAATTAGATTAAAAATAACTTCAAGCCTCGTTAACCGAAACAAGACACATAAAATGAGACGGAGATAGTAATAATAATGTTATTATTAATTGGCAAAATTTTACAATTTCCTATATTTTGTAAATTGTACTTGGTGCTTCAACATATAAGATCAAATGCATGTGTCCATTTTGGGTATAATTGTTACACTATCCTTGTCAAATTTTGAACCTGATGCTCTTCTCTCAAATATGCCTACTGAACTACTGAGCTAAACTCATGCAGGTGTACCTTATGTTTTATTAGAGGAACTTCTTAGCTCACTTGTTCAGTAGGCAGTATTTGGAAGAGGAAACCAAGGTTCGAATCCTCGGTAGCGGTAGTGTAGGGATTATGCCTAAGTGGACATATCCTTTTTGCGCACTAGAATTTGGCTCTGTCTTCTAAGCCATTGAGTCACAATGATTTATATCATCATATCCCAAAATACTCAATTAGGTCGGGGTGTAGAGACCCTTGGGATTCGGGATTCAACCTTTTGGGAGAAGAAGAGGTACAAATTTGTAAAGCATATGGTATTATAATTCATATCATTGTAAGCTTTTCTATTACTAAATATTATAAAAAAAAATATTATGATCATTATTACATCTTAATCTAGAGTTCTAACTTAATATCAATCCATTAGAAAATTAATTATCACACATTAACAAAAATATTGATATAATTGAATGTTATTAACTAGTGACATTCGATTAAAAAGTTTTACTCGATATAAATGTTAGTCACTTTAAGTAAAATCTGCACATATATTTGAGTAAAATAAATTTTACTGTAAAAAATACATGTTGCATTTGAGCTATAATTATAATTGACATCTCCTATGTTTTAAAAGTAATTTAAAAAATAATCATATTTAAGAGAAATCACTAATGCTAATGCTAATTTGTAAATATATCAAACTAAAAGCAATACAAATTCAACATGAGAGACTCTATGAGCTGCTATTTAATTTATTATTTTTTCTAACATTTTAGATGGCTAATAGGACCCAAAACCTAACAATGGTTGCCACAACCCGCATGGGCAGCTTAGTTGGTAACAACAGTAAAGTTTAAGAATAATGATTCGGGATCAAGTCTCACCAACAATAGTGTGGAGTTATCATAATTTCTCAAAGATGTTAGTCTCTGTATTCAGCTGAATTACGAGGCTGGAATCTAAAATAATATATACAAATTTTTATGTAGCATTAAATTAATTTTGGAGGTAAAATAGGTAGAAAAAAATTATTGATGTTAGTTCTTTTTTTAGGGAGATGTGAAGAGGTTTGAGGGCCTACGCGTTTCGATCGGTGTTTAAGATGAGAAAAGGACATATGGAAAAAGCTGACAGGGTGGCTAGCGGTGGCTTTGGAGGTTTCTTAATGCCACCATTAAAATTTCCCCCAAAATCTTTTAGTTTCTTAATTATTAGCTTGTAAGTATGTTTTAACCTTACAAGTTTTGGGCTGTTTTTAATTTGTCCACTTCTTCTTGTGACGCTTTAATCCAAAAAACGTGTGCTTAATCAAGATCACATTTAATATGATGTTTATGTGGTGTTTCCCAACTAGGTAGTAGCAAGGATATCAAAAATAAATAAATAAATGAAAAGAAGAAAGGAGAAATGCAACAGTTATATTTAGGATCAGGCCAGGGTATATGTAGCAGAAAAAAAAAAAGATGGGAAAAATGCAATAGTATAGTTATATATCGTGGACCATATTTTATTTTGTTATGTGCACCCAACACTATTCTTTTTTTATCTTTAATTTTTTTTTTCAATTGAAATTTATTTTACTGTTTTTCTAATTAATAAAATTAATGTATAAAAATATATCATTAAAAAATTCTAATTGAGATCTTTTAAATGACACTTATATTAATATATTTTTAAAATTTATAGGTACAAAAAGACATTACTTCAGTGTAATATTTTGTACATTAAGCTTGGTTATTATTAAATTATTGAAAAAAAAAACATTATGAACATACTACAGAATAAATAAAAATAGATATGATCCACACGCTCACTGCTGGAAATTATGGAATTTCTGACCACCTGAAAATAATCTTAAATCAAGTCAAAAGTCTTGTTCCGATCACTTTTGGTATCCGGAAAAACCTTTGTTGCTATTTCCGACCACTTTTTGCTTTCGACTTGATATAAAATCACTTTCAGGTGGTCGGAAATTCCATAATTTCCAGCAGTGACTATTTAGTGTTTATGTACATTAATGTTTAAATTTGTGATCATATAGAACAGATATTGTGTACATGGGGTCCGTTTAGAAACCTGAAAAAATATTTTTTTCAAAAAAATGATCTTCAGAAAATGACTCATTTTTTAAAAAATATTTTAATTTTCGAGTTTTTAGCTGAATGTAAAAAATTTATCTTTTTTTTTTTAATGTTTGGCTAAAAATTTAAAATTTATATTTTTCTATTTGGTTCATTTTCAAATGAACATATTATTTTGTTATAAAATAATAATAATAATAATAATAATAATAATAATAATAATAATAATTATTATTATTATTATTATTATTATTATTATTATTATTATTATTATTATTATTATTATTATTATTATTATTATTATTATTAGGAATAAGGTTCAAATTGGCCACAGCGTAACCTGAAAATGCAATTAGGCCACTGAACGAAAAAAAAAAAAAAAAAAAAAAAAGGACAATTAGGCCACTGAACACTCCAAATGTATGCAATTTCACCTGATAGCAGGTTACCATCAATTTTAGCAGGTTACCTGCTTACGTTGCAGCTGAGTTGACATTTTTAATAATTTTTAAGTAATTTTTAATAAAGTTTAATAATAAAGTTTTTTTTAAAAAAAAATATTTAAAACAAATTTAATTTTTTTTTTCAATTTTTTTTAAAAAATTATTATTAAAAGTTATTAAAATTATTTAAAAATTATTAAAAATGCCAACTCAGCTGCCACATAAGCAGGTAACCTGCTAAAATTGATGGTAACCTGCTATCCGGTGAAATTGCATACATTTGAAGTGTTCAGTGGCCTAATTGCATATTTTTTTCGTTCAGTGGCCTAATTGCATTTTCAGGTTACGTTCAGTGGCCAATTTGAACCTTATTATTATTATTATTATTATTATTATTATTATTATTATTATTATTATTATTATTATTATTATTATTATTATTATTATTATTATTATTATTATTATTATTATTATTATTATTGTTATTATTATTATTATTATTATTATTATTATTGTTATTATTATTGTTATTATTGTTATTATTGTTATTATTATTGTTGTTGTTGTTGTTGTTGTTGTTATTCTTCTTCTTCTTCTTCTTCTTCTTCCAAAAGGCTGAACCCCAACCCTAAGAGCCCCCCACACCCTGACCCGACAGAGCATTTGGGAGGATGTAAATCATGGTAACTCAACTGAACATGAACCACAGAGGCTAGACCGGTGCTCACTGCGCACAAGGAACCCCCCCTCACTTTGAGAGGTTGCTCCCACACTGCCGCTGGTGAGACTCGATCCCTGGTCATTATTATTATTATTATTATTATTATTATTATTATTATTATTATTATTATTATTATTATAGGTGGTAGTGTTCTTGTGGTGGTATGATGGTAATAATAATCCAAAAACTAACTTGAAGATAGATGAGAGAGAAGAGAGAGACTAGAAAATAAAGAATCTAGAAAATGTCTTCTAACTAAAAATTTACGAAGACATTTTCGTTAAATAGGACTTTTTCTTATTGACCCGAATGAATATTTTCTTTGAATATCCAAACGCATACAGAGAAATCCGAAAAATGACTTCCCAATGTGATTTTCTAAGTTTACAAATGGGACCTATAGTACATGCATGATCAATGTTATTAAACATGATTCACATGTAATATAATTTTATGTACACTAAGCTTTGTTTATATGAAAAATATATATTGTTTTCATATATATATATATATATATATATATATATATATATATATATATATATATATGTAATTGCACTCTGGTGCGAATGGAGCGTCCAGGTGCGAATATGCGAATGCATGATATCCATTCACGTGTTCAGATCTAATAGATGAGAAACACTTATTTAAAAAAAATGCGGTGACATTTTCGTAAATAATTGAACATCGAAGTGCAAGTAAAATGTATTACAAATGCATGTAAAATGTATTATAGGTGCAAATAAAAATTTACACTGAGCATCAATACAAAGTGCACTTATAGTAATAAGTAGTTGCACCTATAGTTATAAGTAGTTGCACCTAGGTACATGAATGTTTGCGGGTGATTTTCAGGGGTACTACTACCTGCTGAACTCATACCAATGAATGTTAACAAGGCAAAATTATATGCACTTGCAGGCGAAAGTAGGTGCACTTGTAGGTGAAAGTAGGTGCACCACCCGATCAATGAATGTAGGCAAAAATTACATGCACTTGCAGGCGAAAGTAGGTGTACTTGTAGGTGAAAGTAGGTGCACCCGATCAATGAATGCTGACACGTGACGCGCGATTATTGGTTCGCATTTCTCTCCTAACACTTATTCGCACCTGAATGCGACCATATATATATATATATATATATATATATATATATATATATATATATATATATATATATATATATATATAAGGAATATTATAAACCTTTTACGAAGTGAATGGAA